TGGGCCAGGGCCGCACTGGAGGTAGGGGTGGGCCGAAAGGGGCGAAGAGGGGCGTTCCCGCTGTGGTGCCTGATTGACCCTCTGCCCCCTGCAGTGTCAGTGGTGATGGGCATTCCCAGCGTGCGGCGTGAGGTGCACTCATACCTGACCGACACCCTGCATTCGCTTATCTCTGAGCTGAGCCCACAAGAGAAGGAGGACTCGGTCATCGTGGTGCTGATCGCCGAGGCGAGTGAGCTGGGGCAAGGGGTCCCGGGCACACTCAGAGGAGGACACATGGCACCAAATAACAAGAAGGAGAAATGAAAAGAGAACAACATTCCAGAGGGAAAAGCTATCAGAAGTTCACTGCCATTCACAAATTTATCAAGATAAAAAGTTAAAAGGAAAGAAACATTTTAGCACCCCCTCATGGAGATGCCAGTTACCTAGTGCTCCCCACTCCATGGCCTAAGGGACCCCGAAGGGCTTTTTCTGAGGCACCTGTGGCCCTCAGGATGGAGGGCTCTCTCCCTCCATGTGTGGGGTCATCTGAAGCCCTAGCCCCTTCTTTCAGGCCATTTGGGGTGGCAGCCGGCTTAGGGAGGGCACTTGGTCTCCCCACAGACTGACCCACAGTACACCTCGGTGGTGACGGAGAACATCAAGGCCTTGTGAGTACGGGCAACCAGACAAAGCTGGTGGAGGGAGGACGCTTTGTGGGGTGTGGGGCAGGCAGGTGCATGCCTCCCCCACAAGATAGTGTCCTCTCTGGGACACAATAGGGGAGGGTGCTTCCCCTGTTGGCTGAAAGGCATTGGATGTATAGAGGTGGCCCAACCCCTCCTGAGCCCCATTGCCTCAGTAGGCTGGGTGTGTTATGGGAGATGTATGCCTGGTGGGCCTTAAGAAAGGAACGGGGTCCGGCTGACTCAGCTCTGCCCACTGCTCCAGGCCCTGGAGGCAGCACACCCACTGGGCCTTCCTGTCCCCAGGTTCCCCACGGAGATCCATTCCGGCCTCCTGGAAGTCATCTCCCCTTCCCCCCACTTCTACCCTGACTTCTCCCGTCTCCGAGAGTCCTTTGGGGACCCCAAGGAGAGAGTCAGGTACTAGCATTGCCCCCTTCCCATACCTCCAGCAACCTTCCCACCTGTTCCAACAGTCCAGTCTGTTGGCTGCAGTGCCTCCATTTCTCCATTAGAGGACCCCTGCTGGGGGGAGGGTTCTAGCCACTCAATACACCTGTGGCAGCCACACTGGAGGTGGAGGGGTCTGAGCTCCTGAGGCCCCTGCCCCTGGCCCACAGGTGGAGGACCAAACAGAACCTCGATTACTGCTTCCTCATGATGTACGCGCAGTCCAAAGGCATCTACTATGTGCAGGTCAGCATCGACACCCTGCTCTCCCCCCCTCCAGCCCCCACCCCGGCTGGGCCTGGGGGTGCCTGTCCTGAGTCCCCGTCCCCTCCTGCCCCCCACTGTGCAGCTGGAGGACGACATAGTGGCCAAGCCCAACTACCTGAGCACCATGAAGAACTTTGCACTGCAGCAGCCCTCAGAGGACTGGATGATCCTGGAGTTCTCCCAGCTGGGTTTCATTGGTGTGCCCCCACCCCCACCCCACAGATCTGAACAGAGCCCCTCAGCCCCACGTTATCAGCCCCCACCCCACAGCGTCATGCTGGGAGCCTTTCCTGGAGTGGCCACTGCAGCTCCACCTCAACTGTTCCCACCCACCCTCTGCATCCCCATCACTTCTGCCCCCTAGTGCCTGCACCTGCAGCCGGCCACAGGGTTTGCTGTAGGCCTCCCATTGGATCCCACAGGGAGTAAGAAGTAGGGCAGGGCGAAGGTGCCCACTCAGCACCCCTTTCCCCCGACTCCTCCCCCAGGGAAAATGTTCAAGTCACTGGACCTGAGCCTGATTGTGGAGTTCATCCTCATGTTCTACCGGGACAAGCCCATCGACTGGCTTCTGGACCATATTCTGTGGGTGAAGGTCTGCAACCCTGAGAAGGACGCGGTGAGCAAGGGCTGCCCAGAGGCGGGCAGGGCAGTGGAGCACACCACCTCCAGCATACCTGTGTCTGCGGGCATCTGGCTGGGAGAGGCCCTGTCCTCAGAGACAGGGCTGTACTCAGGGTGTTTCCCCCTCCACTCCACAGAAGCACTGTGACCGGCAAAAGGCCAACCTTCGGATCCGCTTCAAGCCGTCCCTCTTCCAGCACGTGGGCACTCACTCCTCCCTAGCTGGCAAGATTCAGAAGCTAAAGGTAGGCTGTGCCCCATGTGAACCGGGCTGAGTCCAGGCGGAGTCTGGGCTGGCGCTGGGGGTGGGGGGATGCGGTGAGGGGGACTGGGCAAGTCTACTCTGGCAGCGCTCCAGCACCACTGTCCCTCTGGGACTGTAGGACAAGGACTTTGGGAAGCAGGCGCTGCGGAAGGAGCATGTGAACCCGCCAGCCGAAGTGAGCACAAGCCTCAAGACCTACCAGCACTTCACCCTGGAGAAGGCCTACCTGCGGGAGGATTTCTTCTGGGCCTTCACACCTGCTGCAGGGGACTTCATCCGCTTCCGCTTCTTCCAGCCACTGCGTCTTGAGCGGTCAGTGCCAGAACCCACAGGTCCACCTTGGGGAGGGGTGGGATGGCTACCAGGGTACAGGCCTCGCCACAAATTTCTGTGACCCCCATCAAATTACTCAACCTCACCATGTCTCAGTTTCCTTATCTGAAGAGTGGGGCTCATAACAGTTGCTACCTTGCAAAGACTATGTCAGGCAGTGCCCACAGGAACGCAGTGACATTGCCTATCACCATCGTCCCTATGAAAAGGCCCTGGTTACCTGGCACAGCCCAACAGTTGCCCCTGGTGGTACCCAGCCTCACCCAGCTCCTGGGACCCAGGCCCAGCACTTTGGCTGCTGGGCAGCCTGGGTAGTGCCCCACCCTGCAGCAGCTCATGGGCCTCCCTGGCCGCAGGTTCTTCTTCCGCAGCGGGAACATTGAGCACCCAGAGGATAAGCTCTTCAACACTTCTGTGGAGGTGCTGCCCTTTGATGTGAGTGTGGTAGGGTGTGGGTGCACACTGAGACCAGCCCTACAGCCCCTCACTTCATTCAGCCCCTTAATTTTGCCCTCAGAACCCCCAGTCAGACAAGGAGGCCCTGCAGGAGGGCCACTCAGCCACCCTCAGGTACCCGCGGAGCCCTGATGGCTATCTCCAGATAGGTGAGTAGGGTCAGGCGGGGAGAGGCTGGACTAAGCAGGGAACTTGGGGCAAGCTCTCAGTGATGCCCTCCCCCAGGCTCCTTCTACAAGGGTGTGGCAGAGGGCGAGGTGGACCCTGCCTTCGGACCCCTGGAAGCATTGCGCCTCTCCATCCAGACAGACTCGCCAGTGTGGGTCATTCTGAGTGAGGTGAGGCAGGACAGGGCAGGGCGCAGGGAACAGCAGCTATTCCCAGTAGCTAGATGGGGCCAGCTCTGTAGCCCCTGCTGACCCTGAGACAACTCTTCCAGATTTTCCTGAAAAAGGCCGACTAAGGGAGAGCTTCTGAGGACTGGCCCTGAAGCCCAGGAGGCCTGGGATGTCTTCACTGCAGCCCTGGGAGGGCCAGGCACGACTGACCCAATCTGAAGGGTTGTTCCTGGCACTGCTCAGTGGCCTGGGGTTGCCGCTGGCCCGGAGGCCCCAGGAGCTGGTGCTGCCCGCCCGCCGGGCTGAAGGAGGAGGCAGCGGCCCCCACACTGTGCCTGAGGCCGGCCTGTGCCGCCCGGAACCATTTATTTGCAGCCGGCAGGCTTGAGCCAGGCCGTTTTAGAAGAGCTTTTTCCTGGGCGCCTGCTGTCTCTGGCGCGAACACTGGAATGCATATACTACTTTATGTGCTGTGTTTTTTATTCTTGGATACATTTGATTTTTTCACCTAAGTCCACATATACTTCTATAAGAGCGTGACTTGTAATAAAGGGTTAACGAAATGTGTGCCTCACACTGTGCTCTGAACTCCAGCTAGTGGGGGAAGGCCAGGAGCCAGCTAATGCCACCCTGCACCCAGCTGCCACCTCCCAACAAAGTCATGGAACCAGACTCTCCCTATGCGCAGCTCCGCACTACCTCATGCCCATTTTCCCAGGACCGCCCGGTCTAGGCCTGGGCCACCTCAAAAGATCTCCATACTTGTGGTTGGAGCTGGCATGGAATCCAGGTGCAGGCGCCCAAAGCTGTCCTGCTCCATGAGATGCCTCCTCCCCAAGCACACCCCCTAGTTCTCATCAACAGGAACTGCTAGCAGCAGAGCCCTCAAACTAAAGCCATTCCCACCTCCTCATTCCCTCTCCTTCCAGCGTGTCAGCCCTGCCCTCGTCCGCAGTCCCCAAGGCCCTGTTCACCCCCCTCTGACACATTTTAGGGTCTCCTGCCCACCTCGGGGCCTTTGCCCACACTGTTGCCCTGCTTGAAAAGTTCCTCTGCCAGCTCGGCTAAGTCACCTCTTGAGGAATATTCTGCCCAGATAGCAGGCCTTCCCCAGGTCTGGTCACCCAAGGTACCCGGATGTTTTCTTGAGAGCGCTTATCATGACGACACTGACCATGTTCGTCGTCCCCACGGCTTCACGGCAGGGTGCCCTGAACATCTACACTGTTCTTAACTCTAGGGAGCGAGTGCTGACAAGAGCGGGTCCCTGGTGTAGGTTATGAAGGCCAAGGGACGTGTAATAGGGTAGATGAAGGGGCAGGCAAGGAGAGCGCGGACCGCAGGGAGGAGCGGGGCGGGGGGGCGGGGCGAGTGAACCTCAGCGGGACAGGGCACCTGCGGGCTGACCTTGTTGCTCCAGGGGCTGAGAGCAGGAAGAAGAGGACGAGATAGAGCCCATGTCCGGTGGGAGGCCCCTTTCCTTCCGCGTCCCGGCCCCTGCCACCCCCCGGGAACCACCGACTTGCAGAGCCTCCTCCAAGCTCCACAGCCCGTGGAGCGCGACCACACTGGATCCAAAGAGTACATTTGGGGTCTGGTCACGGGCACTTTTATTAGAGACTGGGATGGTGGGCGAGCACCCTCTTGCGTCCTCCAGGAGACCCCGGCTCTTCTCCAGCTCCGCCGACCCGGCGTCCTCGGTCTCAGGCCCCAGGCAGCAGTGTCCTGAGCCTTCCCAGGAGCGCAGTGCGCAGCGCGGCCGGGAGGAAGTGGGCGAGCAGCCCAAGGGCCGCCAGAGCCACCAGCAGCCAGAGCACGCGCGCGCTCGCGTACAGCGGGGCCAGCCTGTGGGCGATGCTCAGCGAGGGTGAAGCCGGGCGGCAGCCTGGTCCCCCGCTCGTGGCCCCCGCCCCGCCCACCTGCCCCCTCCTCAAGGGATCCCCCTCCAACGGGTTGCCTGGTTCTGCCCACCATCTGCTTGGGGTCCCTGCCGTCAAGACCCCAGCCACCAGCCGCCTTTCCCCGCTCCAGTTCTCACCTTTGCTGCGCCGACTGCGAGTAACCCTGAAAGTAGCGGAGGCGCGCAAACAGGTAGACCAGGCCGCACAGGGCCGCCGCACCTGGGGAGGGGAGAGCGGGGCGGAGTGAGCGCCCTGGCGCAGGGACCCCTGGGGCTCCAGTGCGTGAGTCCCTGCCCGGTGTCCAGACCTTGGTGGAAGAAGATGCCGGCCACCCAGAGCGTGGCAAGGAATAGCGGGAAGTACTCGCTGCAGTTCACTCTGCGGTGGGGACGGGGCGGCGTGAGGGCGCGGGCCGGGGACCTCGGACCCTGCTCCCCGGGGCTCTCTCGCTCCCCGCCCGGCGACCTCCCGCCACGCCTCACTGGGCTCGGTAGACGCGTTCGAACTCAGGTGGGCCGGTGGTGAGCGGTGGCGACACGCGGAAGGTCCTACGCGCCGAAATCACTTTCAGAGAGAAGTAGGCTGAGGGCGAAGGGGGCGGGAGTCAGGTCTGGCCGCCAGACTCCAGCCCTGCCCTCGCCCCGCCTCTTCATCTGGCCCGAACCTTCTCTTCTCCCTTCTCCACACGCTTAGTTCTTTTTTTTTTTTAAAGGTTTTTTACTGGGGAATTGAGGGGAAGGGGAACAGACAAGTTGCTATCCTTTTGTTCTTCAGTCTAGTTGTGGAGGACGTTGCTTCACTGGCCCAAGTTGGCACCATCTTTGCGCTCTTCCCCAGCGAGGCAGATCAGTCGCCGGCCCCTGGGCGGCTGCTCACTGTGGCTGCTGGCCACTCACGCTGGCTGCTGGCTACACACGGTAGCCCATGGCAACCCATCTGCCGAGGCCGGCCGGCGACTCTCGGCAGCTCAGCTCCAGATTGAGCTGTTGTTCAGCATCTTAGCTGTAGAGGGCAGTGTCACTGGCCCTCATATGTGAGATCCGAACCCGGGGCCTCTGGCATCCCAAGCCAGCTCTTAACCAACGTGCCACTCTGCTGGCCCTCCACGCTTAATTCTTAACGACTTCCCTTGAAAGCCCTCCCTAGGGGACCTCCTCCCCCCTCCCCCATGCTCATCTCCTCCGGGCTCGCCCTGTGTCCACAACGCTCAATGAATGTAAGGGGAGGAGGATGCCAGTCACAGGGACACCCCCCATGGGTAGGCCACTCAGACTTTCCTTCTGAATTATTTGACTTGCAAAACACAGGCAAATACCTACCTCCCCCTCTCTAGACGTGGACCTTGGCTTTGTGGTCCTTAGGGAGTGCCACCAGGGCCTGAGCAGACAGAGCTGGTTGCATTCTTCCATTTGCAGGGCAGCACACACCCTGTGGCTAGCAGCCCCTGGACCCCACCTACAAGGCCTCCTGACCCTGCCTCAGGCCACAGTCACTCAAGCCTGGGTTCCTGTGCCTCCAAACTGGCATGGCATCCTGTTTCTATGTTCAGGCACTCTGGACCCTGGCCTAAACCTGACAGATATACTCCCCCTTGTCCCCAGGTGGTTGCAGCTAGTACTTTTCTAGTACGACCCCAGGTCCCCAGGGGTTCTGCCACCCTTCATTCCAGCATGGGTGGGTGCCAGAGCGGGCTTGCCCTAGGGGATCTGAGTGCACAGGGACCCTTCTCTTAACCCCAGGGCCAGGCCCTCACCACACACACAGCCCCACACTGGGTGCCCCCAACTATCTTCCCACAAGTCCTGTGGTCCTGGACCTTTAGTGCCAGGCCATCTGTGGACATATCACATCCCAAGTGCACTATGGATGCCAAGGGTGGCCATGACAGCACAGTGTAGGATCTGTGGCTATGTGAGCAGGGGCTGAGGGCCAAGCTTGCTGGTGTGGCTGGAGATAAAGTCTGCTCGGCCCTCCAGACCCCTGCCCCAGGCTGTGCCCATATATGCTGTGGAGCAGTGGTGTCCCAAATAGTGAGGATATCTGGCCTAGGAATGTGTCCTCTAGGGCTAGTCTGAGAAGGGCTCCAAGCAGGCACCTTTGGGATTCCAGGAAAGCAAGTTCCAACCCTGTCCAGCTCCACATGGTCCCAGCATGATGAGCGTGCCTCTGAAGGAAGGGTCAGGGGATAGGACTTTCCAGAGAGGGGACACGCAAATTGGGGACAGCTGGAGAAAGCAGGGACTGGCTGGATCAGGGCTGCACCAGGTCCATGGCTGTTCCACTTCTGTACCCAGCACCAGACCACCCATTCACCCTAGCACACACCCCCAGGTCCCACAGCCCAATGCAGCTGGATGCCCGCCTATTCCCTGGAAGCCCCTAGCCTCCTCTGGGGTTCTTTATGCTGGTCAAGGGCCCACCACCTCAATCCCAAGCCAGGTACCTGACATGCCTACCTCAGTAATCCCTCGGGGGCTTTTTTCTATTTCGCAGCCCTTATTAGCCCTGGTCCCTGTCCAGCATTCATAGTTTGCCCTGAAGACATCCCTCCAGGGCTTATCTGCTCCCCATCTGGGGAAAGCCTCCAGTGGGGTCAGGAGAGCTTGAGCACCAGTTTGAGTGGAGCGAGGGGTAGGGGAGGTGGCGGGGGAGGTGTCCACCTCTGCCCCTCACCAGAGCCTGGGCCCTCCAGTACCTCCCGAGGGCTTGGAGGGCAGCAGATAGACTGCAGGGGCCCACCCACCTCCTAAACAGTAGCCAGCCCACCTTGCAACAGGACTCCCAGGAGGGTGACAGCGGCCAGAAGAACCACCTCGTCCTTCATGGTGCCGGCGACTCTGTCAGGCTGGCTGGTGTGTGAGAGGGCTAGCTGCAGAGCTCTTATCAGCCCAGGCCTGGCTGCTGCTCAGAGAGGCTGGCCCAAGAGAGGAAGAGTGGATGGCTCTCCCCGCCCCTTTGCCCCTTCTCAGGGGAGGGGGCAGGCATAGAGGAAGGGCATGACCATGACCAGAGAAAGCTAGGAGCCTGGGCAGACTGAGCAGGGGCGGAAACCAGGGCCAGATGGAGCCTGGGCAGGAGAGAGCAGCTGGCTGGGACAGCCTGGCCACTTCCTCCCAGTCTTAGGTCCTTCTGGCCTGGCCCTGTCCTGAGAGAACCCAAGCTGTCCACCCAAGCATGCTCCAGCCTTGGGTAGGTCCAGCCATCATGTTATCCCAGTGTCCCCCAGACCCTGCATCCTCAGCTTGTCCCAGCATGCCCTCCAGACCTCCCGTTGTCCTGGGCCTGGAAACTAGTGCCCACTGCCACCACTTGCCATCTATCACCAAGTCCTACTCATTCTCAAATCCACCCCCAGTGCCACCTTCCAAGCCCCGTCCTACCTCAGTCATATATCATCTGGGCACAGGTCACAGGCTCCTTATACGTTCCCAGCCCTGACCTGCCACCTGCTCATACACACCCACTTCTCTGTTTCCCTGTCCCCCAAACAGGGCTGTTTTATAACATGCAACTCTGACTGCAGGGCCTTCCAAGCACCCAGCCCACACGACACAGCCAAGTATTTTCTTTCTTCCAGGAAGCCTGATGCCTGCCGGCCCCACAGCTGCCTCGGCTCCATGCACCTGGGCTACCCTGAAGGCCACCTGGCCTGGCAGGGTGGGTCAGCCCACTCAGGATGTCTGAACCCATTCTTTCTGAGGTCTCTGACCCTGGAACAGTCACCTGCCGCTTCTGTTTGCCCAGCATCCCTCACTCTGAGGACCCCTCCCTCCCCACAGTCGGGTCTTATGGTCTGGGGAGAGCTGCCCCCCACCCCCAGGCCTATAGGAAGGACATATGAGCCAAAACACTGTGGAGCCAAGGCTGACTCAAGATGGAGAGACACAGTCCTGGAACTTCCTGAGAGCTTTGGGAAAGAGTGTTCAGAGTGAGGAGGTAGGCTGCTGAGGGCCGCCGGTGGCCACACACTGCCCTGAGGAGGATGGAGCCTACACAGGGCCACTGTGACAGGAGAGAGGTCACTCGTGTTCTGGAGCTCTGAGGCTACCTTGCCTAGAATGCCCCCCTGGCTGTTGAGCCTCCCCGTGTTGTAAGATGGCCACTTCTCCTTTTGGTTCATTCTGGTTTGAGGTGGGTTTTGGTCAGTGGTGGCAGAGTCCAGACTGATAAACATAGGCAGGAGCCAGCGAGGCCACAAGCAAGCACAGGCCATGCTGTGGGAGGCACGAGAAGAGAGCAGCTGGTTCTTCAAAGCAACTGCTGCTGGCGCCGGTCCTAGGCCACTGTGATGGCCTGGCACCCTCAGCCTCCACACCCTCGCCACCCACCTGCCTCCTTCTTTGCTGCCCCAAGCCCAGGTTCCAGCCTGAGAGCTGTGTTGCCTGCTGGATTCCCCAAGAACTTCTTTTACCCTCATTGGCCAATGCCCAATGGATGCCCTTTGGCCATCCTCACCCTCCCCTCCCCCTGCCTCAAATCAGCTGCTCCCCAACTGAGGGCTCTGCAGGCTCCTCAGGGGCAGAGCTGGGTCTCCAAGTCTGTGTCCTTCTTTGGATCAGGTCTGATGGTAGCAGCAGTAGGAGCTCAGTGACAGGGAATGACTGACAGATCTTCAGAAACAGACCGGAGCATTAGGGTGCAGACACCCGATGCTTCCCCCAGCCCTCTGGCTGTCCCCTCAGCCCTCTTCTTCCCTGAAACCTGCCCTGAACACAGCCCTTGCTCTGGTCATCTGAAGGGTGGGCACATGCTGGCGGGAAGCCTGTGTGCAGTGCGTTACACCCATATGTCTCTCTCAACACCCCCATGCTTGCGAGTGTATCGGAGCTCATCCATGGCCCGTGTGTATGTCCGTGGTCCCCTGCATGTGTTCAGGCCCTCCTCCCTGCCAAGGTCTCGTTTCCTCTGAAGCCTAGACATCCTCCCTTCTGAGCTCATCCCCTGCCCTGGCAACGGGAAGCTGAAGCCTAACAGCAGCAGTTGCCGAGGAAGTCCCTGGGCATATGTCCAGGCAAGGACTGGAGTCCCAGTCCCTGGAGTCTTCCTCAAACCCCTCAGTCTGCACCTCCCTCCCTCTGAGCCTGCCCAGCCTCTCAGATCCCTGCTTGGGCTAGGCCAGCTTAGGCTCACAGAGGTCCAGCCTGAGGCCCTCCAGGCACCGGCCATGCCCCCACCCTCCTGGGCAGCCCTGGAGATGTCAGCATCCTACAAGAAGTGAAAAGTCCCCTCCCTGAGCCCCTGATTCTCTGAGACTCAGGACCCATGACCTTGTACTACAGCTCTTACATGGCCCTGAGGAACCTTCTGGAAGCTGAGCTCACCAAAGATCTCTGGGGAGTGCAAAGGCCAGCAGAAATTACAACTTCAGCACAACAGGCCATCATGAGCAGTGCACAACTGAGACCCTAAGCTTAAAAAAAAAATTTATTTTGAACTTATTTTAATTACAAAAGTTTGCAAAAATAGTAGTTTCCACACACCCTCCATCCAGCTTCCTCTAATATTAACATCTTATATTACCACAATTCCATTATGTAAACTAAGAAATTAACATTAATACAATACTGTCAACCATTTTACAGATTTTTAAAAAATATTTACTTATTTACTTATATTGGGAAACAGTGTGTCTCTCCAGGACCCATCAGCTCCAAGTCATGTAATTGCTCCAATCTAGTTGTGGAGGGCGCATCTCAGTGGCCCATGTGGGGATCGAACCGGCAACCCTGGTGCTATGAGCACTGCGCTCTAACCAACTAAGCTTAACCAGCCACCCCCATTTTACAAATCTTATTCAAATTTCACCAATTGTCCCATTAAAATAGTATAAAGACCTCAAAAACATTATGTTAAGGGTGCCAGACACAAAAGACCACCTATCATATGATTCCTTTTATATGAAATGTCCAGAAAAGCAAAACAATAGAAACAGAAAACAGATCAGTGGTGGCCTGGGGTTACGAGTGTGAGGGATCTTATTGCAGTGATGAAAATGTTCTAGAACTAGGCTGTGGCGATGTTTGCACAACTCTGTAAATGTACTGAAAATCATTGAATTATTCGTTTAAAATGGGCAAATTTTACGGCATATAAAGAATACCTCAACAAAGTTGTTTTAAAAAGAATTTTACAAAGGCTGCTTGTGTAGATAGCTTCTCCAGCTGTTAGCATATTATGTAACAGCAGTACACGAGTAAAACCAGGAGGGTAACGGTGATCCAAGACTATTAACTAATCTACAGACCTTATCCAAATTTCAACAATTGTCCCGTGGCGTCCTTTTTCTGGTTCAGGAACCGATCCAGGATCACATGTTCTTAGTCTCCTCCAACCCAGGACGAGCGGACAGTTCCTCGGTCTGTCTTCCATGATCTCGACACTGTGAACATCAGTGAATTCTTCTGTAGAAGGTCCTCAACTTGTGTTGTCTGATGTTTTCCCATGAATAGATGAGGTTATTCATTTTCGGCAAGAATGCTACAGAAGTGATATGTGCCTTTCTCAGTGCCTCAGATCGGAAGAGACATGTCTTATCACAACCCTAAGCTTTCCACACAAGGAAATAACACCCATGGTGATGGCATGTCTTGCTCCTGACTTAACCCATCCTCTCCGCAGCCCGTGTTCCACCCTGCAGAGTAACTTCACTGATTCAGTAACCTTGCTGATTCTGGCTTTGGCCCTTCTCAACCTGATGCCATTTGGGCACTTTGGCCCCCATGAATCCCCATGACCTATCAGCACCCTTTCCTGGCAGCCCTTGTCCCCACCCTTCCAGGAGTGCCTTGGAGGAGATGACTGTCCTCTGCCTGGTCCCCAGGCCCCACATGTAGTAGGTGCTCAAGTACCTATGAATGAGCAAATGAACAACTGCTCATCTGGCCTGGCTGCCCTCCCTTCCTGCTTCCCTTGGAAACCACTGAACTTTTTACTGTCCCTATCATTTTGCCTTTTCCAGAATGTCATATTTGTACTCATACAGTATGCAGCCTTTTCAACTTGGCCTCTTTCACTTAGTAATATTTAAGGTTTCTCTGTGTCTTTTCCTGATTTCATAGATCATTTCTTTTCAGCACTGAATGATATTCCATTCACCTACTGAAGGGCATCTTGGCTGCTTCCAGGTTTTGGCAATTAGGAATAAAGCAGCTGTAAACATCCATGTGCAGGTTTTTGTGTGGACGTAAATTTTCAGTTTCTTTGGGTAAATATAAAGGAGCACAATTTTTGGATTGTATGATAAGACTATATTTAGTTTTATAAGAAACCTCCAAACTGTCTTCCAAAGTGGCTGCACCATTTTGCATTCCCACCAGCAATGGGTGAAACGTTCCTGTTGCTCCACATTCTCTCCGGCATTTGGTGGCGTCAGGGTTATGGATTTCAGCCATGCCAGTAGATGCATAATACTATCTCAGTGTTCTTGCATTTGCATTTCCCTGCTGATATAGAATGTTGAGCATCTCTTCATATGACTACTTACCATCTATATACCTTCTTTAATGAGATGTGTGTTCAAGTTTATTGTTCATTTTTAAATCGGGTTGTTCATTTTCTTGTTGAATTTTAACAGTTTTTGTATATTTTGGATAACAGTCCTTTATCAAATATATGTTTTGCAAATATTTTTCTCCATCTGTGGCTTGTCTTCTCATTTTCTTGACAGTGTCTTTCACAGAGCAGAAATTTTTTTAATTGTAATAAAGTTCAGCTTATCCAGTATTTCTTTCATGCATTGTACCTTTGGTGTTGTATTTAAAAAGTCATCACCATAACCAAAGTAACTTCTAGGAGTTTTACACTTTTGCACTTTATATTTATATCAATGATTCATTTTGATTTAATTTTTGTGAAGAGTGTAAGCAAAGTCTGTGTTTAGATTCAATGTGTTTTTTTTTAAAAGAT